ACAAGGTTACATTTGCTAAATTCTGGACTTTTTAATTCGTTAATTAAAGTTGCAAAATTTTAAAAAGAATAGTAGTTTTTTATCATTTTATCATTCCAAATGATAAAAAAGGTTTATATTATAGAAACCTTTTTCAGAAGTTACATATGATGCTGAGAACTCTAGTATAAGTAGTCTAATAGTCATTTAAAGCTTATAAAGTTAATATACTTGTTAAATGTGCGATTTTCCAAATGATAAAAAGCCACAGTTCTAAAGTTGCAACCTTTTTTAGCAGCTGCAGTTGTTAAGTATTAAAGTTTTTTTATTCACTCTCTGTAAATCATAAAAATTACATATTTTTTACATAAAATATATTTTTATTTATAAAGAGTTAAAAAAAACTTTTAATATTTGTTTTCAAATTTTTTTGGGGTTTCACTGTAAACTTAGAGATATATGACCATAATAAAATAATGGCAAGTTAAAAAAGTCTTTGTCAAACACAAAATTATAAAAAAATTAGATTTATGCAAGTAAATAAATACATCGATTAGAGAGATCATAATGCCAACGGAGTAACTTGCAACAAACTGGGGTAACTTGAATCATAAAATAACTGCGGATTTTATTAATTTTATGCACTTTACTAGTTATTTCTAAAGTAACTAAAAAAATTTTTTATTTGTTGTACTTTTTTACATTATAGTTTTTTTAAATAAAATGTCATTGCGTTTTTATATTCTAAAAACAAAACTTAAATAACCTAAAAACTTCTCTTGCATTTTTCTAAACTTATTGTTAATTGACTATTAATTGTAATTATTAAAAATATTAATTTTTTTTTTCAGAAACACTTTGGAGTTGAATTAATAAATTAGTTTAAATCCTTTTTGTTTAATTTCTTCAGTCTCTGAAATTTTTGAATACAATTATCAGTTTACTAAACAAGTCAGATATATGTGATCTCGCATAAGTTGCAACATTTTTTTTTTTCATTTTTGTTCCACAGTTACAGAACAACCAAGTTTTATATTGAATTTATCAATGTTAGTTTATTATGTCATTAAGACCTATTTTGTAACCTTAAAAAAAAATTCCAAAAAATCAAAGTTTTAGGATATAAATGTTGTTTTTGAATTTCGTTGCAGCTAGTATTGGTCTTCTCTACACATCAAGGTACCATGTGACGCAAATTTTGAAATCTTTTAATTTTGTCCGCAGAAAATATTTCTGGCCGCTATTATGTTAAGCTTGGAATTGATGATAGAAAAAGTTTTATAAGTTTTTTCTAAACATTGTTAATACTGTGTTAAAAGATGAAAGCGCTCACTACCACAAAACTGGTAAAAGATACTGGAGTTAAGAGACTGGTAAAGATACTGGAGTTAAGAGACGAGCTCTTGTACCGGTATTAGATATTTGCCAGAAACTCACTCTAATATTGAACAAATTATTAATGCAAATAGAGTTAAACTAATTTTGAAACCCATCTATGGGTTTGAAGATCATAAATGACGTCACACCATAAGCATCTTTGCACATTCCATAACGTCAAGTGTCTAGAAACTTGCAAGCTGTGGGCCCAGTAAAATTTAGCTTTGAGTCTTTTGAGTAATCTGGCTGGGCTGTTGCAAATGCAAAGCTTTTTGGCAATGTCATTTAAAAAGAAATCATCAGCGCATCTTCTATGAGGAATTATTGATCATTTTTTTCATGTGGGTGCAGTGACTTTATTAATGTGTTGATGTACTACGGCAAGTATCGTGATACAAATATTGTTCCCAACATCGTTTACATAATTGAAGCATTCAAAAGTGTTTGGTTTATAATGAACATTTTCACCATTTTAATCCTGAAATGCTATTGGTTTAAAAACAATGAATTTTGATATTAATTTGAAAATAGTATTGTAGAGTGTCTGTACTAAAAGGGTAAATTAAGCTTTTTTCTTATGCTTCTGGCGAGTATGTTACTACCAATAATAGCGTAGCTGGAGGAAAATGAAATTAAAAAAAGTCACTTCTCAAATACAGTCTTAGTAGTAACATGATTTTTAATTAAACACCGCGGAATTATTATAATTTAAAGTTAACCAATCACATTCCACTTTTGACGGAAGCTATCTGGTGATATTGTTTCAAAACGCCATAAGCAATTAAACCATTGCAAATAAACAAATGGAAGTTTAAAAAATTCCATTTGTTGGAATTTTTTAAACTTCCATTTTTAAAAAGTCAGTTTGTTGTTATTTTTTTGTTGTGCTTTTTGAACATCTAATAATAAATTTCTAGATTAGAATTGAATTAGTAGTTGTCTGGATAAGAGTTGGTAGTATTTTTCCTATGTATTTTATATCTCTTTATATTTTTGCCATGTATTTTATACTTAGAATAAAGCAATTTGCTTTTAAATCCAGAAAAAATACTCTAACACAAAATAAAATCCTGGCGGGATTTAATAAGTTCCTGGCCGAAAGAACAGTCTTAAAGAACGTAACTAACCTATAGCTGAACAGGCAAGCAAAAAATATTCAAAAAAGGTTCAAATAGGTAGTAGAGATTGCCTAAAACTTTGATATTTATACATATAATTGAGGTACACTAGAAACAATTACATCACCTTAATCGTGATTTTTGTTTTAATTAACTTCTTGATTGGTCAAATAGAGTAAAACAGGGTAAAATGAAATAGCGGGTTGAATAAAATAGTTACGACAATGTTTATTTTTTCGCTCTTAATTAATTGTTGAAAAATCTTTTTGCAAATATTTTTCGATGTTGTAGAGAAAACTTTTTTTAGTAAAATGATGTCAAATTTTGTTTTTAATAAAAAAAAATATTGTTACAAATTGTTAAGTTTTAGAATGCGTAATAAGATTTTTTTTATTATTTTGAAAAATGAACTTAAAACTTTTGGAAATTAAATTTGATATTATTGGACCTAAAAGGTTTTATGGTACAACTTTTTACGCTGATCAAGAATCTTTTATCAAAATTAAATTTTTTATTTAAGAAAAAAAGTTGAGTAAAAAACAGAAAAGGAGATTTGTGGGGTTTAATAAAATACGCTAATAATAAGTGAAGCAATTCTTAAATGCGGCTTTTTTTAAAATTAATTCTGAAAAGTGACCAATAAATCTCCAGCTATAAGTTTTTTTATAAATTTCAATAAACGAGTTTTTCTATCTGAGTTTAAATGCATGACTTTTACTGACTGCTTTTATTAAATGATTCCAATAAATGAATGAAATACGCTAGTTGCTCTCTTGTTTAATTGCAAGGTTTGGCTATGTCAAACATGCATACCAAAACGATACGTAAAAGGCGCTGAGTTTTATTGCACCAAAAAGTGCCGCACAACTGAAAACTCAACTCAACCTCTAGCACCTCTAAACGACTCAACATCATCACAAGAATAAAAAAGTTTTTTTTATTTGATTGGTTTTTTAATTGTTATAATTGATTGTTTTTTTTAATTGTTATTTTTGATTGCTTTTCGTTTTTTAAATAAAGTATTGTTTTAATTACACATACATTTGCGTATTTCATTCGCCCCTTATGTAGGTGTAGAAAGTAATAATTTTTTTTTTAATCAAGTAACGTTTTATAAAAAACTTTAATTTTTTTATTTTTATTTATTCAAATACAGTTCTACAACTTTAAAAAAAAATTTAAAAAAATCTTTTTTCAGTCAAAAATAGATAATTAAAATCTTTAACTATTCCATTTGACCCCGTTTTATTATAGTTGTTAAAAACATATTCAACAAACTTTTATTTTAATAATCCATTTTGATTATAAATCTCAAAGCTTACTCATTATCTTTCAAAACTTTTCTTTTTTTTTGCAAAAGCGCCATTTTGAATTGCTACTGGAATAATTATACTACAAGACTGTTACGCGATTTAAATCCATTTTCGGCTTCGTAATCCCTTCAGCTAAACTATTATACCTCCTTGTACCAAGTTAGTAGATTGAAATCTTATTAATCTAAACTAAAAATAAGCAAGTTTTTTACTATGAGTTATTGTTGTTTCTACATGTTTTGCTTCATGGTGTCTCATTTTTTGCCATCTGGGGATAGGGAGGGAAAATCGGATAAAATTTTTTGTATAAAACTAATAGTTTTTAATGCGTATTTATAAAAAATAATAAAGTCTTTTTGTTCTAACTAGGAAAACTTAGAAACTGGTAGCTGGTTTTTGGAAACCTATTGATTGGGTACTTCAGAAGTAATAGATGCCCTCATTTTTTCACTTTTTCATTCTTGTAGCATAAATGTCTATTTTCATTTTACACACTTCCTTTTTTTTAATTTTTTGAGTACGAACTATTTCAGTTATTACTTTTGTTATTAGGTAATGCTAAAACAAATCATAATTTTGTTCAATCAAGTATCACCAAGAAAAAAAAAGTTATTTTACACAAATTACGTTGCATGCTATCTTTAAAAAATGTTTCATATAATATATAACATATTATTTTTGCTTTAACTTTTTGTCTATTGCTTAAACCTAACTGCTCACAATTTAACATATATAATTTAAAATATATAATATAACATAAATTAACATTATAATAATAACACATATTCTTTAACATATATAATTTATCATATAAAAGTGCCTTTTGTTTAAATTTAACTGCTTATAAACTGTAATTGTAAAAAAAAGTGGACAGTAAAAATGTTTTTTTTTTTTTTGAGGAGGAGGAAGGGTTTGCATCTAGAAATGTATAAAAACTTCAAGTTTTTAAAAAACTAAAAATTTAAGTAGTGATGAAATTGGTGTCACAATGTTTTTTTACTCTTACAAATGAACTTAGGTGATACCAGAAACTGGGAAAAAGATGCGTGCAAAATTTATTTTTTGGGGACACCCTAACATTTATGCCGTGTAGTTACGCCACCTACAACATGGCGTAAGGCATTTTTTTTTTGACGGAGTTAGCTAAAAAACTTTTTGTCCTTCCCTGGTATGTATATGTATACATAAATAATTGAAATAAACTAAATTATACCGGTTTTGTAGATATAAACATAAATCCTTCCGCTTGTTGAATTTTCGGAAAATCATCATTGAACAACCGACAAGTAAATTTTTTATCCACAATTGCAGCGTCCATTGATTTGCACATTATACCTTTATTAAAGCAAGCTTTAATGCAACCATGGTAATCATTATAATCTGTGCGCATTTCTACCATGTTTGTACTGTCATCTACTTTTTTATTTTTGTAAACAGTAAAAGAATAACGAGACGATGACTTATGAGCACGATAACTAAATTGTGCTACAACGTTTGTCAGCAAAGCCAAAATAATAAAATAAAGGAACATCTTTGTTTTAATCTAAAGAACATATGTATATATATATATATATATATATATATATATATATATATATATATATATATATATATTATTATTATTATTATTATTATTATTATTATTATTATTATATGGAAAAAAAATATAGAAAAATAAAAATATTGAACTCTTAAAATAAATATGTGCGTTAATTTTTACTTAAATCTCAAAAATAAACAGAATTAAGTTAAAATTTTGTTTTCCACAAAAAAATATTTATACTTGAGTTTGCTTCTATTGAAAAAAAAATGAGCAAAATTTAGTTATACAAACAATCATTATTATTTAAAACTTGAGAATAACTAATGAGGTAGAGAATATTAACATGAATCTGGCTATGACAAGACATGAATCTGGTTATGATGAGACAATTTAAAATTGCAATTGAAAAAACATCATTCGAACAAAAACAATGAGACTAACTGACTTTTAAATTTTTATTACTTTTAATGTTTTTGAGGTTTGGCCTTTAAATAGAAATAGAACGAAAAATCTTTTTTTTTTTTTTTGTTGGTATTGGTAAAAAAAAAATGCAAGTACTAATACATCACGGTGTTGATGTTTTTGATTACATTTAATACACTCAAACAAAGGGCTTTTTATAATACCAATGCGCTAACAATGGGCTACGGCCACGGTTTCAATCGGAAAACTTTAAGCTTAAATATTCAAAATTAATTGTTTTAAATATGTTTTGGTTATAGCTATTATGGACCATGTGATGTAGTTTTATGCTTTTTTACAAACTACATAAAATTGTAGTATAGTTTTCTCCTAATAACGTGCAGCGGCTACATTTTAACAATTTTAGGTCAATTTTATATTTACCTTAAGTTTTTAAAAAGTGAATTGAATGTATATGTATTTATTTGAAGTTTTTAAAAAGTGAATATATATATATATATATATATATATATATATATATATATATATATATATATATATATATATATATATATATATATATATATATTCACCTAAAATTGTTAAAAAATAGTCGCTACACGTTATTCGGAAAAAATTATACAACAATTTTAGGTAGTTTGTAAAAAAGTAATAATAAACAAACCCGCAAGCAGTTTAAAGCAAATCTTTAGATAAAAGGTTACAATTAATGTGTCCTCTGAACAATAAATAAAGTTGAGGAAGAGTTCATGTTAAGTGAGCTCCAATCACTACTTTTTCAGCGTACTTTACTTAGGCAAAGCCAAACTAACATTATGTATTGCACTCTCTAAAATAAAGTGCAATCCTGTCCGCTTACTCTATGCTATCTTTCTAACTCGACCACTTCTATCTTCCACTCTAACATATCTTCGTTCTTCCTAAAATCACCTTACTCTCAGTCCGTAGAGCGGGTATGACTTGTCTTTGTGGATTTCTGGTAAAGTGACCTCTATATGGCAATTAGCCGGAGGAGGTAAAACCACAATACCAGAGCGCATGTTAAGTGAAAGAAAAGATTATAAAAAACTACATCTTGCGGTCCTTAATCAAAATATACTTAAAATGAAAACAATGTTATGATAAAGTTGACGTCAGTATTTGAATTTTTATTGAGCACTACTACTTGTTAACTTTATATAAGTCGTGCTGGCCCTGTTGCAAAATATATAAGCATAAAAAAAATTAATGTTTACTAAATTTTTATTGAAAATTTTATAAATCATTTAAATAAAAACATATAAGCATAAAACATTTAAACTACCAATTGCTGTATTATCTGTTTGGATTGGTTACAAACGTTTTCTGACGTAAATTCTTTCCACTTCTGAATATGTCGTTTTACTAAATTAATAATAGAAAAGAAGTCACATTTTTTAGATATTGGTTATTCATTGCTTAAACTCTAAATAAACGCCAAAGGCTAGGGTTGGAAAAAATTACGACTTTTTCAGAAAAATTAAAAAAGTCAAGTTTTTTTTTATTTAAACTAGCTTTAATTATTTAAACTAGCTTTCGATTTTTTTTATTTGAATAAAAATTGACGTTAACAATTCATCAAAAAATACTTTTTTGATGAATTTTTATTGTAATTTAAAGTAACATGAAACGGTAGCAGGAAAAAATCTCCCCTTAAAAATCCTCCCGAAATAATCCCCCCAATAAAAAAATCCCCCCGAGAAAAAATCCTCCCTAGAAAAAATCCCTCCAGATAAAATCCCCCCGACAAAAAATTCCCCCGGAAGAAATCCCTGCGAGAAAAAAATTTTAATTAAAAAATTTTTTTTTTTTTTTAATTAAAAATTATCAATAAAATAGTTATATTTATTTATTTTAAATATTTATATAAAATACTTCATTTTTCATCAAAGTGTCAAGTTATGCGCTATTCATCGGTTGTCGGTAAAATGTGAACCGCGAACTGCAAACAGGTAAAATGCAAACTTTTTTGCGAACCAAAACATTTTATTTTAAAGACCATTATTTTTATGATAAAAATAATAACAAAAAAAACTCTTCAATTCTTAATTATCTGTTTTAAAGTTTTATTTAAATAAAAGTGCCATCCCTAATGCCCTGATACTAGCACGGCACGCAAATGCTGTTCCAGCATTTTAAGTCGACAATCGGAACACGTTGGTCCAACGAAGACATGTTTGCTGAGATTCTGCCGGTCTAATGATGGGCCAACAGTAGTTTGCGGATAAAGGATCTTCGTAGAACCTGAGCAAAACGCAGCGGTACAAGCAAAACACGCCAACGTTGTGTCGTCATAATGTGGCAACGGCGGGAACACGGTGGTCCGATAATGGCATATTCGCTGGGATATTCAAATTTGAATAAGTTTTAAAATAAATAAATTTTTTCTTTCTTTCTTTTTTTTGAAATGGTAAAATGAACATCATAGTTTAATAGTACGATCTGTTCTGATCGTTAATTAGTAATTTTTCTTTATTACAAGTGCTATTTTGGTCGGAATTCTAACATTTTTTGTTAAAATTGATAAAAATGTTGTATTTTGACAATTATATTAAATTAATATGTGCTAGAACCAGTTAGAGCTAGGATCTATATTAGATTAAAGGACTTTTTCAAAAGTTTTCAAGTAAAATTAAGTTAACACTGTTGAGCGAAATTGATCTAAAGACTTGAAAATAGTATTCTTTAGATTTGCAATTAGGGGTAATAAAAATGTTTTGAAAATTATATAAAAAAGGGAAAAGTTTTTTTAAACATAAAAACTTGATGCAATAAAAGTTAGAGCTTCTGAAGCTCTTGTTTGGACATAAAACGCTGACAAATCATGTTAATTCCAAATAAAAGAATTCGAATAACTTATAAATAGCTTTAACTACACCGAGTGTAGTTAAGGCAATTTATAAGTTATTATAAATCGAATTGATTTAATGCACGAATTGATTTAGTGCTAAGCGATGTAGTTTCATAGTTTGCAAGAAGTTATCTTTCGAAGTAGATTCTTTATATTTTCTCTATAAAGAAAACCTGAATTCATCTTAATCAAAATCACTCAAAAATACTTGAAATTAATAAACTTGAGACATTCAGAAAACTATTAAACATTCAGAAAACTATTTTATACGTGAATACTCCATTATTTACTTTATGCTAATAAGCAATATAGCAAGAAATTATTTTTAATGAAAATAATTTGTTACTTTACCTGCAGTTTCATGAATTTGCAAAAAATAAATAATTATTTTATCTCTTTTTGTTATATTATAAAAACATATGGTTGGCTTAGTGCACAAACATGGTTGTATATGATTAACATGGTTGTATATGATTAACATGGTTCTATATGATTAACATGGTTATATATGATTAACATGGTTGTATAGAGCTAAATAAAATAAAAAATGCTTTTAACTTTAGACGTTAAGTGGATTCGGAGTTATTGCATTTTTTGTGCTGGAATAACCAATGATTTTTTGATAAAACGCCTCGTCCTTAAGTATGAAAAATTTGCTGTGTAATGACATTGATATAAAATAATAATAATAAAAAAAAACGACACGCTATGGAAAAAAAACATTATATACTTAATTTCTATATACAAATCCTAAGAACCAAATCTTCAAGGAAACATAAATAATTACTTGTTTGGAATTGAGGGAAAGCTATAATTGCTATTTCCACATGGACCCTTTCAAAAAACACTGTTTTTTATTAAATTAACCTTGAAGTTTTTAAATGCTGAGAACTAAAAAATAAGCATAAACGAAAAATAAGTCCACATCATATTAAGTTCTGGTCCCTTTTTAAATATATATGCAAAGTTTTATAGAAATTAGATGTGTTTTGCTACTTAGGAATCCTTACCTTCAGAAGCTGCGTTTGAAAAAAACGTCCCCGCGGCTAAAGCCAGCGTGATGGGTAGGAGGGGGATTTGACACCTCTATCCAGTGACGTATAAATAGAATTAGACTTAAGTTAAAAAGTGAAGTCAGAATTTAAGATTTTTGCCGTACCGCAAGATTGCGGTACGGCAAAAATCTTAAATTCTGAACGCGTTACATAGGGATATATGACTAATTTAAACTGGATATAAGTTTTCAAAGAAGTTTTAACTGTTAAATTTTTTAAGAGCAACTATTTCTTTTTGAAAAGTTGTATATATATATATATATATATATATATATATATATATATATATATATATATATATATATATATATATATATATATATATATATATATATATATATATATATATATATATATATATATATATATATATATATATATATATATATATTAAGTGTATGACTAAAAAACATATATCATTTTTTAGGAAATGGCATTGCGGCAAAAGATGAACTTTTACTTGTATTAACTTAAAATAATAATGATTTTTACCAAATCGAAAAAAAATTCCCCCGCGAGTGCAGATAATATTTGGTCCCAGCCGTCTAAAAATGTATAGAAGGGGCAGGGTCACTTAACAAAATTTTAAAAATACCATGAAAGTTACTTTTGTAGTTTGATTGATCTATTTTTAGATTATGTTTTGTTTTTTGGTAAAAATGATGGGAAGAGTTGATCTTAACCATTTGCAATCATGTGTGATTGAGAGGTTGAGGGCTTTTTTTATTATGTACATTAAATATAAAACATTTTTGTAATTGTACACTTTTTATTTAAAGAAAGACTATTTTATAGTTTTTATCCAAGATTTTTCAGTTTGCTTCTCCGTCTACTTTAGTTTCTAAAAGTTTCAATGAGGTCATGGCTAGAGTTAGAAGCACGTTCTGCACTGCAATGTAGAAAAGAAAGACCAGTGACAAGTTTTTAAAAAATCTTTTATAACCTGGAAACAAGTATAATAATATATAGCGATATATACACATAGCACGTATCCGCAATTAGTTTTAGTTTGATGAACTGGTTTTCAGTCATTCTATCTAAAGTAATGTTATTTTTAACAAACAACATTTTAAATCAAAAAAGAAAAATCAATTTTCAGGTCAAAAAAATCTTTAATTGTTATATAACTAGCAGACTTTTCTGTTTTAGCTAATTCAAGAGCTAATTTATGAAATTACTTTTCGGATAATGAATAAAAATAGGAACAGTATACTTTTTAAATTTTCTAAAAGGATGGAGATACTGTCTATCTTATTATCTCCATTATTGCAAGTATCTAAACATTTTATTGTCTCCTTAAATTTTTTACTAACCAACCTTGTTTGATTCCTAATGGACTCTTATAACCTTGAAAATTTTTTTCTTACTTCACTTTCTATTTTGCAAAAAAAATTTTGCGCGACATTTTTTGAACATTCAACTCTTTTTGATCATTGAGAAAATTTACATCTTCTTGTCTACTTTTTAAAACCACATTTTGGCGTAATGCTTTTTAATTCAACATTCTTGCCTCTAAATGGCATATCAAAAGTAAAAGAATTCATGAAAAGATATTGCAACTAAAAACATTTATATATTGATATTTTTATCATAAAAACATATTAATATAATATTAAGTCAATTTAAATTTGGATTGAATTGTAAAAATATAAGCATTTTACTATAATATAGTAAACATCTGATATGTTTGTCAGTATTTTCTTCATCTAATTATGGTATGTATGGTATGCACATACATACCAAGTAAATTTTTTTCGGGAGGTGAGTGGGGGAAGGGAGGTAGGAAGAAAGGAGGGTGGGGGTGGGGTGGGGGGTCAAAAGTCATACGAACGCGTACAAAGGGGGAAGGGGTGTTGAAGACAGTGAGCACGTACGCGGTTTGACTATCTCTCCTAAACTTGATTTTTTAACAGTTAATTTCATGTTTTTAAAAAATCAGAAATGTGTTTTTTTTCTGACTTCAATCACAACTTTTTTTTTAATTTCTTTATAAATAATGAGATAAAAAAGAAATCAAGTTAATTTTGAAAAAAAAATAATGCGTTTGTACGCGGGGGAAGGAGGTGTCTTCAAAAGCGTACAGGTTCGTAAAAGAGGGGAGGGGGGTCTTAAATCAGAGGTTTTACTGCGTGCGTACTTTATGGATGCTCCTTTACAAAAAAATTAAAAAAACTTCACAAAATTCTTTTTTGACTCCTCCCCTTCTCCCACTCTCAACAACCCATTGAAACGTTTAGAAACAAAAAGAAAACTTAATTGTTGTAGCTTTTTTAATTGTTTAAAATTTAAAACAGCTGATAAAAAATCTTGGATAAAAACTATAAAATAGTCTTTCTTTAAATAAAAAATGTACAATTACAAAAATGTTTTATTTTTAATGTACATAATAGAAAAAAGCCCCCCCCCAACCTCTCAAACAGACATGATTGCAAATTGTTAAATCAACTCTTCCCATCATTTTTACCAAAAAACAAAACATAATCTAAAAATAGATAGATCAAGCTACGATAATAAATCTCATGGTATTTTTTTTGACATGTATGATTAAAGAAAAAAATTTGATGATTCTAGATTTAAGTAACTTTTTTCTCGTATACTTATGAAATATAATCAAAACATAAATAATAATAAAAATAAAACGTTTAAAGTGTTACTGTTTAAAATAAATAAAAAACTTTAAAATAAAAATTAAAAAGTCAACAACACATTGTGATATTATTTTTAAATATAAATACTATCATATTTAGTTTACTCGAATTCAAACTTTGGTGCTTTTGAATATTATTATAAAATAATGATTCATTGTTTTGATGATTTTCAACTGAGTCAAACTGGCAGTTTATTTAATGTATGCTCGATTGGAAAAGATTTCAGAATATTATTAAGAAGTTTCTCTGCTACAGTTGAGACACGGAAATCGATGCTAAAAATTCACCTGTGAATTAAGGAGCCTGTGAATTATGTTGGTCGTTAAAGTACAGAACTAACTTGAGTTTGAAATTTCATAGATCGTGAAATAGGAAATAAATCTGTATACCATCCAATAAAAAAAACAATAAAATAAAGAAACAATTGGGTTTATAGGACTACAAACGCTGTTACTCAAAAAAATAACACCAAACACCATTATCAGAAACGAGTTTCCAAAAATGTAGATTTTAATTTAGGCTAAGAAAAAAAAATTAAGAATTCAATTGAAGCTCATTAGATACAAATACAGTTGCAATCATAGTTGCTCAATAAAATTATTTTTTACCTCTATATTTTTTTGTACGTAATAAAAATTGAATAGAAACCCATTGTCGATAAGATCCAAAAGATATGAAGTTAGTTGAAGTAGGAAATCTAGTTTTATCACATATGTCTGTCCACCACATACTGCATTCTAGAAATTTTTTTCCATTTGCGTTTAGCTGATCAGGTTCAATTACTAAAAGTAAATTATCAGTTACTAAATAAGATCATTTACAAAATGCAATCATTAGTAGTGTTAATAATTACTAAATTATCATAACTAATTATAACTGATAGAATCTTAAACCAAAAGAGTAAGACATAATAATCACTTAAACCAAAAAAGTAAGACAGGATAAACTCTTTTTCTCTCTTTCATGTATGTATATATATATATATATATATATATATATATATATATATATATATATATATATATATATATATATATATATATATATATATATATATGCATTAGGGTGGTCGAGAATTAAATAGTAAAAATTAAAAGTGTTTCTAACCACTCTCCACAACGCTAACTTTGTTCTACTATATAAGGAATAACAATACAAAAGATTGGACCAATTTAAACAATTTTAGGGGTCAATAGGATTTCAACATTTTGGGCAAGAACCTAATTTTACGGCATGTTTGTAGCAGAAATCACATTGCTGAGTGTTTATACATAATTTTAAGTTTTGTTTTTCTGAACAGCTCTTACAACCCACAAAGAACTAGAACAATTACAAAGTAATTGTTCTAGTTCTTTGTGCAATTTGTAAACAGCAGACATATTGCCATCAGCAAATAATTTTTAAAAATTGAAATTTTTTCAAATATATAGTACTTTTGAACTTTTATTCTGACTATAGAAGAAAAGCTTAAAAGGTTAGTAATTTGCATCAGCTGCTTTATGCACAAATTATATAATTACAATTAATTAGTTACCATGAATAGTTAATTAATAATCTATTGTTTATCAAATAGATTAGTGTAATATTATCAATTTATCAGTCACATATTGAGGCCTTAAAACAATTTTTGTTGTTTTTAAAATAAAATAAACATTGAACATTTAAACATGACATTCATGAACAGCAATTTTATGACAATATTTACTAGTTAGTATTTTTTATATCCACAAATATATGTACTTAATTACATAATGGCAGCTGCAACAAGAAGTTCTGCTGAAGTTTTTCTTATTGGCAAGGCCACCAATTAATTCTCTTCAGCAAGATTGGCTATGAACGGTGATGCCATCTGCTGCCTCCTCTTTTAGCACTCAGAACAGCAGAAGAACACCTCACTGTGAAGGACAATATTAATTGCACAATTAAAGATATCAATATGATTTGGAGCAAAGCAAGAATTCTGACTCAGAGGATTGATTCTGGTGAAAGAAAACTGAAGAAGTTGTATGGTGAATATCAACTGTTGAAGGTGAATTGGACGAAAGCATATGAAAGCTGCAGATTTAAACAGCAAATGTTCAAAGACGACCTGATGGAACTTTTTGACTTGGCCACAAAAAATGCTTTGGACATCATGACAAACAATGAAGACAGACAATTCCTAACAATGCAGAGAGAAGATGTCACCAGTTCAAGCATGGCTGGAGTGAATCTCAATCTTGCAGAGGAAGAGACGAAGAAGAGAGCTTGTAAAGAAACTAATCGAAGACTGAAAGAGATAAAAAAGCTGCAGAAAATAGAAACATCTGGTCCTGCTTTGGATATCAGTTCTTCGTCAAAGTCTGAAGACGAGGACAACGTTGACAATAAAGACTTCAGAGTTCCATCATCATCATCTGCTTAAACTCTTTCCTCAAAGCCTAAACGACTGAAAAGCGTGATAGCAACTCCAGAAGTCACATGGGCTTTAGATAGAGTAAATCTTCCAGATCGTGGAGCTATGTATGTTGTTGCATCAGTAGCAAAGGCTTTAAGCCATCCTCTTGTTGACCTGACACTGTCTAGGAGCACCATCAGAAAGTCACGGATAGCTACCCAAAAAAAAGTAGCTGAAGCAGAGAATAGTTTTTTTTTAATCTTTCATCTTCTTCACCATTGGGATGGGAAACTGCTTCTGCACATAGCAAGTGCAAAAAATTTCATCTTCTTCACCATTGGGATGGGAAACTGCTTCTGCACATAGCAAGTGCAAAAAAAACCGTCAATTGAATTGCTGTAATCATCACTGGGAACTGTATTGAGAAGTTGTTGGCTGTCCCAAAAATTGTAGGAGGAAATATATTTGATACAACTTCCTCCAACACAGGCATCCATCAAGGGGCATGCGTTCTTATTGAGGAAACCATTAACCATGAACTTGTAAATATTGGATGCTGTCATTATGTCCTGGAAGTCTTGAAGTTCTGAGCAGTGTTCAGCTGTTTTTAGTGGGACAGGTGGGCCAGAAGTTGGTCTTTTTAAGAGGTTTCAGAAGAAATTTCCATACATCAGGCAAACAGAGTATTTGCCCATTATAGATGAAATCTTCAATGAAGATACAGAAACTCTTTGGACGGAGATGGTTGTCTACTACACCAAAGCCATAGGACATCAGCAGCCTCGGGAGGATTACCTGGAGCTCCTTTGGCTATGTCTTTATCTTCCTCGGTGGAAGCAATTTTAAGATGGACTTCCAGTTCCGAGCTCCAGGAGCAATGCATCATGCTCAATATTTGTCGAAGGCCGTCTATTCTTTAAATATGGTGCTATTTGAAGGCCAGTTGGAATTGACTGCTAAAGAAAAGCGAGGTCTGAAGGAGCTGGCACTCTTTGTTTCTCTTATTTATAGATATTTCTGGCATGAGGCTCCACTGGCTTCATACACTCCCCTGAATGATGCAATGATGATTGGGCTTCTCAAGAAATATCCAAACTATATCATTAAGTAAATGCGGCTTACACTGCATTTACTCGATATCTGTGGTTCTTCTCAGAACACCTCATGGGCTTAGCTTTTTTTGACAACCAAGTCCCTCTAGATGTTAAAAGAGCCATGATAACCAACCTCCAGCTTCCAAAGACTCAGTCAGCTCTGAAGAGAATAAGCATGTGTGGTACAGACTTCAATCATCTTTAAAAGTTTGTGACCCAAAGAACATTTCGTCTCTTCATTGTACTTAATATCACTGGAAAGGAAAAGGCCAAGAGTTTCCTGTTGAAAGATCCAGAAGCATGGGAATCGGATGCTTGCTACCAAAATTTGAAGGATTGAGTCAACAAGATGAAGGTTGTCAATGACAGCACAGAGCGTAGCTTGCTCTTATCCAGAAATACAATTAAACCCTCACCAAAGGCGAGGACCAAAAACAGTTTCTGATTCGTTTTGCCCAGCAACATCGCCAGATTTACCCATCCTCCTCTATGGCGGTCATGATTGCGGTAGATGACATTTGATGGGGCATTACTTATATGTCATACTTTTGAAATCAGTATTATAACAATTTTTCATTTAATATTTCAAATATTGTAATATGAAAATATCAAAATGAAATTTTTACTGTTAGAGTCAAAATGTTTATTGACCACTAAATATTGCCTGATTTGCTTCAAATTTTTACAGAAACTCTCTAATATTATATGAAACAAGATAAGCCTTGTAGAGAACAGGATTTCCAAACTTTATTTTTTTGGACCACCCTAATATATATATATATATATATATATATATATATATATATATATATATATATATATATATATATATATATATATATATATATATATATATATATACACATTTGCTCCCACCATTTTCACAACTTTTTGAATTTTGAAGGTGGTCATTTGATTTCTGGTGCATTTGATGAGATCATAGAGAAAATTATATACACTTTTATTTAAAGTTTTGTTTACTACCTCCTCCAGTCTATTGACATTTTTAGACATTTCTTGTAATTTGTTCATGTTTTAGCAAAAAGTATTGCTTACACTAGTATTTAACTTAACTTATTCGAGATGACTTAATAAATAATACTTAAAATATAACATAAAATACTCTGTTGAAAATCTTATAATAAAACAGATTTAATACTAGCTTTACTAGGGTTAGGTTTAATTAATATCTTAAATGATATTGTTAACATGTAAAAGGATTTTTTAATTAAACATTGCACTTACTATTGTATAGAATTTGGAATGTATGCAATGTCTCAAACAAGATCAAAAAAAGGTTTTTTTGATATAAAAAACAATTGAAAAATCTAAGAATAAACTTCAAAAATTGGAGAAGTACTCGGATATCTTCATTATAGAAAATACTTTATGACATCAATTTCTAAATCTCTTAGACTTTAAGACGTCGTTGCCCGCCCCCTTTCTATACGCCTAAATGTAACAAATCTGGTGGTTGTCAGCAAAAAGAAAACAACTTGATGTATGTTACTAAAGCCGTAGTTAACATATGGGAAAAGGCTTTAATTTCAACACTGTGTCATTAACAAATAAGGTATAAATAAAACTTGTAATATCTAATTTTTACAACAATTACATTGTTGTAAATATGATAAAATGTTAGTAACTAACTTTACTTTCTAACTTATACTTATATCTTATAGCAATAACATACTGACATTTAAAATTGCATAAGCAGATTACTAGCAAATAAAAATAATCTACTGGGTACGAAAAATCGCAAAGAATTTAGGAAAGAAACACCTAATCTTTGCAACATTTCTCTTTCAGATATTAATGGTGTAATAAAAGACTAAATCATTTTCAACCAGAGAAGAAGACTGTATGTTTTTGGATGACCAAAAACATACAATCTTCTGTATAAAAAAAGTTTATAAAACGAAAGATTGCAAAAACAAATCAATTTCATGCTAAAATGATAGATCAACAATTGTCTATAACAACATTTTCGAATCAAGTCTTAAAAAATATTCTGATTCTGAATTTGTAGGCTCAGATCGAAATGAGCCCCAGTTTTTTTTTTATTGGAGTAATTGGAATTTCTAATGGGTATGGAATAACCCAGGCTGCTGCAATAAAAAGGTTTTAAATGAATGGAATTTTTTAGAAGCAGTTGATAATAAATTGTTTGATACAACTGTGAGTAATACTGTACGGATTCATGGAGCAGTTTTAATTATTGATAAATGGAGAGCCAAAGCACTAATTTGAAAAGCATGTAGACACCATGTTGTAGAACTCTGAGCTAAAGAAATAGAAAAAGTGACAGACA